CTCTCTCTCTCTCTCTCTCTCTCTCTCTCTCTCTCACACACACACACACACACACACACACACACACACACACACACACTCATTGGACCAGTTTCTCTCCTAAATGGCCTGGATGCCGTTTCTTGTTCTTCCTGGCCAGCTGCTCTGCATAGAGATCCAAGTCTGGTCCCACGACCCCCACCCCCCCTTTCCCGGATTTAGGTCCTCTTGGAATGGACCCAGGAAAAAGCCTGGTGTGGCGCACGATTGTAATCCCAGCACTCTAGAGGCTGAAGCAGGAGGATCGTTGAGTTTAAAGGCCAGCCAGGGCTACATAATGAGACCCTGTCTGAATACTACATAGCACCAGGAAACCGGGAGTTAAGGCCTCCGACCCACTATGGTAGCCTGGTCCCAAACACTATGGTGAGCAACTCCATATTGACAGTGTTTTGGGATACATCCTTTAAGCCCGTTTGGGCCCCCCTTCTTAGAGCTGAGGAAATCTCCCTTCCCCCACCTCGGTGGAGCCCACCCCTTGTGCCCCTTTCCCAGGAGAGCCGCTTAGTAGGCTGGAACGGGGCAAGACAGTGCCCCCTGGTGGCCTCGGCTGCGCCAAGCCGGAGTGGCCTGAGGGCTGGCTTTGCAAGGGCTCTCCAGGAGTGGGAGGGAGTCAGACATCATTTTTGGAAAAAACAACCGTTGTCGGAGCCAGGAGGAACGTTATCCCTCAAGCCCTGGCTCAGCCGCTTGCTCCTCTGGGAAGTCCTCTTTGACTCCCCGAGTTCAGAGCTGGCGGTTCTGCTGGACTTCTTTAACGGCGGCGTGTCAACCTGAGCCTGCCAAATCAGGCGGGGACTCCTCCGCCTGTGTCACCAAACCCCATCCCCACTTTCTTGCCTGCACCTACCGTGCCATCTTGTGATCTTTCTCATCCCTCCACCCCACCTTACCCTCTGTCTTCACCCCATCCTGTCTGTGGGTACCATTCCACCCCAGACTTTTTTACCTGCTCCCCCATCCAACCCCTTAACCTCTACCTGCACCCCTTCTTGCTCCCAGCTCTCTGCCTGCTTCCCCTACACTCTATGCTCCTATCCCACCCCCAACGGTCTTCCTTATCCCGAACCCACCCTAATCCCCCCACCCCCAAGCCTTCACTCTGCCAAGGAGTATTACTACAGCCTCACAGATTTTATTTTGTTCCTCAGCTTTATTAAGATATAATGTACTGGAGGTGGGGGGTGGAGACAACTAGTGGTTAAGAGCACTGGCTTCTCTTAAGGTCCTGGGTTCAAAACCCAGCACCCACGAGGAGGCTGTAACCCCAGTTCCAGGCCATTCAACACCCTCTGCTGGTCTCTTCGGGCACTGTACGTTTATGGTGTACAGTCATACACGTAGGCAAAATGCCCACACACATAAAATAAAAATAAATACGCCTAAAACAAGATACAATCTACTTATAAAATTTTCAACAACCTAATGATCTGAGGTGATTTTACACTTGAGCATCCACCGCCACGATTCTCTTTTAGAACATTAAGGTCGTTCCAAAAAGATCTCATTAGCCATAGTCAGTCCTCATCCCTACCCCAGGCAGCTGCCGATGGTTGTCACATCTTCGTTCCTCTCCCACACAGCCCCGGTTGGGGAAATACTTCTTTTGCATGTTAAGGTTTTGCAGTAGCACATACAGAACGTACCCTCAGGGAACTCAGAAGTCTAGCCGGGAGCCTGGCTAGCTAGTCAATAGCACTTGCTACCTAAGTCCAATGCCCCAAATTTGAGTTCCAGAACCAACTCCATGGCACACACATGTACACAGAGCGGTAATTTTTTAAAGTCACGTTGAGACAGCTAATGGGAAAAATATGTCCACTCACTCCCTCATTAATCATTTGAAAATGGTTTTGGGCTGGTGAGATGGCTCAGTGTAAAGGTCATGCCGCCAACCCTGACAAAATCCTATTCCCTTCCCACAACCCATATGGTGGAAAAAGACAAGAGTCCCAACATTGGTTCTCTAACCTCCACACATGCACTGTGATGTGCTCTGTCTCACACACACAGACATACACACTCCTACACTCACAATCACACTCACACTCACACACAGAGGAGGAAATACCACTGAACGGTTTTCTTTTTTTAATGTATTTATTTTTGTTTTATGTGCATTGATGTTTTCCCATGGGTGTCAGGTCCCCTGGAACTGGAGTTACACAGTTGTGAGCTGCTATGTGGGAGCCGGGAATTGAACCCCAGTCCTCTGGGAGAGCAGTCAATGCTCTTAACCACTGAGCCATCTCTCCAGCCCCCACTGAAAGGTTTTCAGCACAGCACTTGGCATTTATTTATTTAGAAAGAGTCTCCTGTGTTCTGATCTGACTTCTTTGTTATGAGGAGGGAGGATGACGGGTGGTAGGGCGGCCCGTGAGAGTGACGTGGCAGGCACTGAGCTGACAGATAATGGCTTAGACTAGGCTGGGAGCTGTGCTGGAAGAAGAGTAGGGTCTAAACTGTGATCAGGAACTAAGATACATCAGACAGAACACAGTCGTGGAGCCATGGGTGATGAGACTGCAGCGTTCAATAAGTGGCCTGGTATGATAAAGGGACTGTTTATGTAGGAGAATGTCCTCATTCCTGGGTAATGTCTGTTGAAATCCTTGGGATCAAAGTTTACAAGATGATGCAAACAATTCTCCCACCTCCTCCCCCCAAGACAGGGTTTCTCTGTGTAGTTTTGGTGGCTGTCCTGGAACTCACTCTATAGACCAGGCTGGCCTCAAACTCACAGAGATCTGCCTGCTTCTGCCTCCCGAGTGCTGGGATTAAAGGTGTGTGCCGTCACTGTCCAGCATTGCAAGCAATTCTTAAAATGGATATCTATCTGTCTGTCTGTCTGTCTACCTTCATTCCTTCCTTCTTTCTATCATCTTTCTTTATCTATCTATCTATCTTTCTATCTGTCTATCTATATCTATCTATCTATCTATCTATCTATCTATCTATCTATCTATCTATCTATCTATCTATCTATCTATAATATATACCTAGATATCAAATGTGGGGAGAGAAAGAAAGAAATAGAGATATTTTTTGGAACTACTCAAAGATTGTATCATGTAGCTTAATCCAAAAGCCCACATAGATGTTTGTCTTTTTGTTGTCTTTTAGACAGGCTCTTGTGTAGCCGAGGCTGGCCTCCAGCTCTTTCTGGTCCTTCTGCCCCTAGCTCCTGAGGGCCAGGATTGCAGGCATGCACCACCATACCCCAATAGATGTCTCTAGATAAGTATAAATATAGAGGGAAAAGGCATGGGAGAGGGAGACACACCTAGTTATCAGGAAGTGATGGGTTGGGAATGGGGATTTAGCTCAGTGGTAGAGTGCTTGCCTAGCAAGCACAAGGCCCTGGGTTCGGTCCTCAGCTCCAGGGGAAAAAAAAAAAAAAGAAAGTGATAGGTCCACGGTTGGGGGTGTGACTCAGTGGTACAGTGCTTGTCTAGAATCTACAGTGAGGGTTGGGGGCATGGCTCCATAGCGGGGTACACACCTGTAACTCCAACTCCAAGGTGGGAAGAGACAGAGACTTAAGGTTGTAGCTTTCCAGCCTAGCCAGGACAACATCAACCCCAGG